CCGTATTACCCCGGGCACGCGCCCAGGGGCCTGAACATACAAAATCGGGAAAAAATGGGGGTAGGCGCTTACCCGAGGACCAAATAAAAATAAATAGAAGATAGAAGAAGGGATGTGCTTGTTCCAACTCGTCAAATTGTAAAACCAATGCATCTATCTATGTCGTTTTTCTAATTGCCGTATATTTAGCTACAATTCTCGAAATATCTCATAGTGGTTAGCTGTTGAGTTTGTTTGGTTGAGTAAAAAATGTCATCAACAAAATTGGTATCAGTCATCTTGTTTGTAGCTTAAACTGACTGTTAAACAGTTCTTGAATGTATTTTTATTATGATATTTTTTTGTTCCTTTGCAGATAAGGCTGACGTCATGCCTAAAGAAAAGTATGAACCGCCGAATCCTCGGCGGGCCTATAAGATAATGTCAGCAGAAGAAGTTGCTTCAGGAAAACCATCCCATTGGCCGGAATTGGAAATTAATGGTAAGTTTAAATCTTTTGTCTTTTTCATAACTTCCATGTGGCCATTTTAGTGTATCTTGGAGATTTATTAATTCTGTTTACTGCTACATGTACTGAATTATTCATGAGTTTAACCATGTAGTTCAATCACTTCAATTTTGCAAGAGACTTGTAAAAAATTCAGGGAAAGGTATTGTCGTTATTATGGTAGGCCTTGTGCTTGACCTCAAAAGGTCACACATCTTGGTATCTTCTGGGGAAACAAATTTCTGGATAATAAATTTCAAAGTACTGCAATCTGTTTTCTGGAAAACGACCAAGTTTAAGGTATGCTATTGGAAAATAATTATGGTTATGAACAAACAATACCCTCAGAAGTGCCAGGATGTGCGACCTTTAAGGGTCATGTATACAGCCTACCTGTACTTGCGTTATATTTCAAACTTGTCTTACATAATGCATAGTATAAAGCATTTAATGATGTTATTCTTCGCTCTGTACCCTCTATATACAAGGATGTATAAAACATGGGCATGCACACTGTGTGATATGCTATGAAGATCTCACAAGAATTGATGTCACGCAAATTGTGACACGATCACAAAGTCGCAAGACAAACCTATGTTCCTAGAAATACAAAATGCTAATGAGTGAGTTTGTGAAAGAAATCTCTGGTGTTCATCTCTGGTAGTTTTTCTAGTATCCTTACTTGTTAGAAAGGTATTTTTCTTTTCTTTTTTTGAATACAACAATAACCACCATTATTTCTTTCTGTTTTACATGAATGAACGGTTGATTACATAATGTTCATAACAGTTGGGACAGAATGTGGATTCGTTGTAATAATTCCTAAACATGATTTGGCAAGTACAACCCACAAACTATGAATAAACAATCACTACCTCATTTATCTGAAAGATCGTTCTTGGACGATGTTTCATTACCGATTAACTCAAAAACAAATACCATGAATTGTAAACAATAGTGAATTAATAGAATACAAATGGAATTTTTTTTTTTTGAGTTAATAGAATAATTTTTGATTGACTCAATTAACCGTTTCACCACCAGACTTTCTCGCCCAAAAATCTCTGGAAACCGGCACCCGCCAAAATGCACCTGGGGTAGGTTATCGAGTTTCACCAAAAACACTGCATTAATGAAAAAACAACTGAACAATGCTGTTTTTTAAACAGTCCCATGTGAATTCATTACTGAAGTACAGAGTAACAACTAAAATTGTGCTACCTGAGCCGTGTCTGTGCGTAGACAGACGTATACCAGTACAATGATATAACATGTCACCACGGTATGCCAGAACCGTATAGACAGAGACTTCTCCAATACCACCTGTACAATGTAATAAGAGGTAATGTGTATAAACATTCAATAGAGATTCAATAGCTGTGTGTGTAGTGTAGTATGATGTTGACCCTTTGACATTTACATGTCTAAATTTAGGAGAAAATTACAGTGAAATGATTTGCTTCATCCCATCTTTGTTTCAAAACGTTTTCTGCAAATTAAAATCATACAGTAATTTGGTAAGCTAGAAGCCGCGGCTTCTATTAAAATGGTGGAATGCAACAGAGGGGATGTGGCTTTTATTAGAGCATCTACACATATGAGGAATGGTGAATTTTTGGTTCTCAATTGTTCAAAAATAATGGGTGCGACTTAGGGATGCGGCTTTTAATACAGATTTTACGGTAGTTCCTCTGCTTGCACTTTCACAGATTAGTGTAGGAGCCAGTATTACAAAAACGGTTCCATATCAGTACAGTAGTTGTAAGCAACTGCACTGGATTATATTTTGTATATGGTATTTTGGCATTTTATGCCTCTATTTTTGTCTTTTCATTTATTCATTTTGCAACACCTTTTTTTTTTTTTGACATTGTGACCAATGATTTACGTGACATAGACTATTTACAAGTACGTGACCGATCTGAATAAACTTAGATGCTTTCAGACTGCGTTGATCATCATTGCTTATGGCAAAAAAAAAACACACATCTAAGATGAGTCTCATAGAATTGTAGCTGTGGAAATCGTAGACAATAGAAAGTGGAGAAATTGAGTGAGGCGGTAATGTTTTTTTGAGTGTGGTGGTCTCCACCAGCGTGTGTGTTGCGGGGAGAACACAGCAACTGTATTTCACACGTCTGTAGTACATTTCTCAGGTCCATCAGGTCCGGTGGTAAAGTTGTAAACATAGTGGTCAAGACTCGAGGAGGACCGCCATGTGGGGATAACACTGAGTTTGATATTTTTATCTTATAGATTCTTGTCAGTACTTTATATTTTTTGTTTCTCATCTTTTCAGGAATTGTGAAGAATCTTAGTCCTGAGTTATGGACTTTACATCATTTGACTTCTTTATATTTGAATGGTAATAATTTATCTCGAATACCACCTGATATATCAAGGCTTCGGAATTTAATGTTTTTAGATTTGTCTTCAAATAAATTACGAACGTTACCGGCAGAACTAGGAGATATGGTGAATCTCAGGTGAGTGACTATGTGAGTGGTGATCTTTGTAGAACTTGTTGGATAAATGAAATCTTTTCCATCGGAAACAATTCTTGACTTCCTTTGCGTTTTAAATTACCTTCTAGTGGTAAAGCTGATTTGATTTTGGAAATCTCAGCGTAACCAGAAATAAATTAATTTTAATATTAAACTTATGCGTTTGCCTTTTTTCTATGCCAATTTTGTGACATTTGAACCTAATTGCAGTGTTTTACCCTATATTGACCTTAGTGGCAAAATCTTCCTTCCTTTCTCAAAATTCAGTTCTGTGCAATGGGCTAAAAAGTTGTATATTGTTATTGACATAAATGCTAATATTGTTAATACATTTCAAAAAATTGACATATAATTTAGTTGGTTTTCAGGGCAATAAAAGTCATCATATTAATTGGGAAGTTTTTCCTCAATAATGCATTGCATTAGTGCAATATTGGGCTCAAACTTCCTTTTGGGGCTAACCATTAGATCCTAAGGAGATAGGGGAAAATGGATTATAGAAAGTAACAATAATTGATAAAATAAAATTTTTGGGAAATGTAATTTGCACAGTATTTTCACCTAACCCTAAACTAAGCCTCAAATTTCATATATTGTATTAAAAGTTCATGAGAAGGTCTGAAAGAAAAGTCAAGGAATATGGTTAGGGTTAAATTTGCTTATCAGGGATCGAAATACCCTGGTGCACACTGCACTATGCACATAGATTATTAGCTAGTGCAAGTAAACTCAAAATATAATGTGCATGCTGTGCATGTAGATTTTAACACAACATTTTCTCATTATATTCACTAAGCCTAAATTAAGTTCAACCAACATTGTGAGACAACTAAAAAAAATCAAATTCTTTTGTGATTGCATCAATCGAGAACCCGTAAATTTGATTTAAACTTTAAAAATGGTGCATTTCACAACAAGTTAGTGCAGGTAAATTTCAAATTCAACATGCACACTATGCATACAGGGAAAAAATTCTATTTCAATCCCTGCTTATGATCTTTTTGTTTAAAGGGAATTATTGCTCAATAACAACTGTTTACGAGTGTTACCCTACGAGTTGGGCAGGCTGTTTCAGCTACAGACACTAGGATTGAAAGGGAATCAGTTGTCATCAGAATTGATGGGCCTTTATAGCGAGCCAAATGGAACATCCAAATTACTTCTTTATATGCTGGACAACCTGGCAGGTAAGAAATGACAAAGCGGGAATTATCTCGATTTAGTATTGTAAATTTCCTAATATAGTTTGAGTTCTAAGCAATGCATGTTTTCTTTCTGTAACATAGCTGCAGGAAAAGTTTTTGGGAACAGATCATTATTAGTGTAGGGGTGGAGTAGGGATTCAGAGCAAAAATAGGTGTCTCTTTGAAAAAGAAGTTGCGATAAACGCAAATGATCACCCAAAATAAATACTGAATAAATACCCACCCCCAGATATAATGGCCTACTCCTGTCTTGTTCAGTCCCCAACCTTAAAATATGTGCAAATTTAAAGATTTGATTCCTCAGTATTCTAAGTAGTGGGGTATCTATTTTTGTTAGCCTTTCTCCCTCCAATAAAATTTTAATATGCTATGGATCGTTTTTCTCGCATGCCTTGGCTTTTTTGTTAGCTCCGCTGTCGACTTTGTCTTGACTTCGACTTTATTATATGAGTGATTGTCGTCGTCCGTGTCAATGTTTTACTTTTTCGACTTCTTCTTGAAAACTACAAGCCCGAATGCTTTGATACTTGGTGTATATGTACCTTGGGTAGACCTCTCTCAGATTTGTTCATTTCATGATGATATCTTCAATTCTTTAATTTTGGTGAATATTTTTTGTTATTTTTGGTAAAAAGTGATATTTTCGACTTCTTGTTGAAAACGCAAGTCCAATTGCTTTGATATTACATATATAGGTACTACATGTGATCCTCTCTCGGATTTGTTCATTTTGTAATGATATCTTTAATTCTCTAATTTTGGTGAATATTTTTGTAATTTTTGGTAAAAAGTGATATTTTTGGCTTCTTGTTGAAAACGCAAGTCCAATTGCTTTGATATTACATATATAGGTATTACATGTGGACCTCTCTCAGATTTGTTCATTTTGTAATGATATCTTTAATTCTCTAATTTTGATGAATATTTTTGGTAAAAAGCGATATTTTCGACTTCTTGTTAAAAACCGCAAGTCCAATTGCTTTGATATATTATACATATAGGTACTACATGTGGACCTCGCTCAGATTTGTTCATTTTCTAATGATATCTTCTGTTCTTTAATTGCCAAGTGCATTGCTAACAGCGGAGCTATCTCAGCCGACAGGCTGCTTGTTTTTTGTATGATGGTTTTGATGCACGTCAGTTTACTTTGTGATCTGGTTTTATCATTTTCAGACATACTTTGACTGATTTTGTTCAAGAAAATTTTCTTTACCCTGTGGGTATTATGCAAAATACTTTCCAAACATTTACCGGATTCGGCTGATACCCCGCCCTGGGCGATCTTATGGAGGATTCGATTTTTTTTTAGAAAAATGTGGACCAAAAGATCGCCCGGGCGATCTTTTGGCAGATATTACGAGGCCCATCTTGTCTAAAAAAAATAACCCTGCGTTGATGGAAATGGTCTAGAAAAAATAATGTTTCGCGTTGACCAAATATAATCATGCAAAGTATAAATTCAAAGTGTTTTACTGTAGAATACTTTATTTTCGCTTGGAATTTATTTTCGCTATTTTCGCTGAAAGGATGTTTCCGTGAAAATAAAATCCAGCGAATATACTTTTTTTCCAATATTTCACATTAAACTCATCAAAAATCAGTGAAAATAAATTTCATACAAAACGCCCAAAAAGCCTTTTCAGCGAAAATTAATTCCAGCGAAAATAAAGTATTCCACAGTAATACATTGGTGAGAGGTCGCATTTTACGTGAACAAGAACATGCACTAAGAAGGAAAAGCAAGTCAAAGTCGAAACGGGGTGCATCATGGACATGACACAACACACGCTGCGACAACCGAGTGATTAGCGACATAATTTTGGAACGCAATTGAACTTGAAGTACTTCTTTGCGAAACTTGCTGCGCGGTGATGCTGGCATCAAGTGTGTGTTGACCGAAGTTTGACCCCAAGTCACGCGCTGAACTGGCGTGTTACCTTAGCAATCTTTTTCTTTTGCGGTCCGCGCGTCGATCTAGTAAAATTTTTATTATATCCGACGGTACTGTAATTACGCAACTTGTATGCAACTCTGTACTGGCTTTGAATATATCAACGTCGTTTACTTAGTGCACTGCTTTTCTAATTACGCAAATTTGTTTACAATATTGTACCGGCTCTGAATATTTCAACTTTGTATTAAATGTATTGCTTTCATGATAATTACGCAAACTCAAGTTAATTTTTACTATTGTTAGGGCACTGACCCGGGGTATTGGGTCTGTGAA